TGAAAATTACAGGCCTCTCTCATCTTTTTAAGTGGGAGAACTTGCACAATTGGTGGCTGACTAAATACTTTTTTGCCCCACTTAGATCTGTAGATGTGTTTGAAAACTCCACTGGAAGTTGAAAAAACCTCATGGAACAAGACAAACAACTTCTGTATTGCCAAGAAAACTACATGGATGTATCCATACAGCCATCAGAAGTTGAGCTTTATTCCAGAGAGGGAGAAAGTTTTTTTTGTGTGTGTGTGGCTTCTTATCCCATAATTAATGTAAAGAGGACACCATTTACAAACCACATACCTAAAAAGCTGGTGACATCTGGGTTCACACATTGCACAACAATGTAATGTATTTTGGCTTGGTATATTAATCTAATAATTGTGTTTTTTTAAACTATGATGTATGGCCTATGCCTAGCATATTGTAGAAGCCTAGTGAATTGCAGTTTATTTAATGAACCAGTTAGGCAAATTAGGGCTCAGCATGCTATATAAAATAAATTAAGATAGTATTTCCCATGTTAGTTGTATATCCAAACTTGAATAGCATAAAATGTAGAATTCATAACTGTAATACATCTCAACTATACACAAGGATCCATTTGAAAAGTATGCAAATGTGGATTGAGCTAATGACCAATCCATGAAAACTCATAGGTTTGACCTGCAAATTAATTTATGAAGGTCCAATAGTAGGCTTAAGTAACTCTTATTGAAATCCTTTATAGCAGCACTTCCCTCATTCAAGGGGTATCTCTGCTTTTCTTGCTGTGGGAAAAAAGCCACAGTAATCATATCATTGGCCATATCTTGTGGTTCTGTTCTTTTCCAGATTCTATTTTGCCCATTTATGCCTTCACTGATAACCTCAATTCAAATTAGCATACTATCATAGTCTGGATTTGAATGTTATAGTTGCCCCATAAATTTATATTTAGTTCCAAACACCCTATTGGGAGATTTTGCAAACATACAACAGTATCTTTTTATAGAAACGTGAGCATCACCCTTATTCTGACTCCCCCCCCCCCCAAATTCAGGGGTTGTCACCTGGAAGCTCCAAGCAGCCTACTGGACAAGTCATCAGCTGCTAGGGGAACTGTGTGGGTTCACTCCTAAGCTTAGCAGCAATTCAACAAGCTCAGAGCATTTCAACCTTAACTCAAATTCTCAGCTTGACTTAACAGAAGACTCACATCATATCTCAGGTAGATTACAGTAGAATGTTTATTGCAGACAAGATTGAAGCCACACACAACTGTTGATAGCTCTCTGCAGTGCAAAGTTGACTTTTCTATATTCCCAAAGGTTTTAACTCAAAGCTTTTTCCTCCTGCTCTTCTCTATTAACAGGTGCTTGGCACAGTGCTTGGCAGCCTTGAAGTTGGATATTGGTGGTACGTTTATGTAATGGTCACCTCTAACCTGGGAACTACTACTGTTCCCATCTCAACCTTTATACCAGTTCTTGCATTTTACGACACAGCTTCCTCACCCTCACGATCATCTGTTTAGCAGGCTTGTTTTGAAATTGGGTTTAGCACTTTGAACATTAAACCAGCTATCAAAAGCAAGTTGCTGGATTTTAAGAGAGCTGTTCTTCTGCTTCACTGGGGAGCTCATTCAGCCCGATGTTCAGCTTTTTGGGGAGGCTGGTTTTGAGAATTTCAAAACCCCACAATTGTCCAGTGTACTGTAGGGAGCTGCTAGGCAGTGGCACCAGCAGCTGTGCCTAGCTCTTTTCACTTAGAAGGGGTGGGGGGTGGGGGAGAATTGTGGCAGAGGAGTGCCCAGGAACTGAGGGAAAGGGCTGTACACACCCTAGTCTGAAGTAGCCAAAAGACACTAGGCCATACCACTAACCAAGCAGCTGGCAAAGTACATAAAATTTTACACTACTTTAAAAACAGAACAGCCTTAATGACTTAAGTGACTCTTATTCATAGGCTGAGAACAAGATGAAGGCAACATCATGGGAGACATGACAGAATTAAGACACTGCCAGGGCTTGTTCATACCATAATTAGATTCAAGTGGCCTTCATACTGCATAGGGTTAAAGTGGACTGTAAGAAAACCCAAATCCATTCAATCACTTCATTTTGCCCACCTAGTCTTCCAAGAAAAAGAGCTAGAGGAAAAGAGCGGCGAAAAGACCTTCTATTAAATCTCCCCAACATTGGCTGTAGCAGCCAAGCCAGGCCTGCTGCTGTTTACCTGTCCAGCACAAATGGGGCTATTGATGTTATAAAGTTAGTCGTCTCCTAGTGCAAGGGCCAAAAAGATACCAGATGCTTCTTGGAAGGGACTCTGTAATACTCCAAATGGAAGCTTTTAATCAGTATGTGGAATTGTGTGCAGCTAGAACCACCTATATGAAGATTTGACTGGATTTGTGTTTGATTTTGTTAAGTGTGCTGTGATAACAGGGTCACTATGAATATCAACAGGGAACACAATAATCTCTTTAATGAAAGTAAGTTGGGTTAAAGTTAGATGTTGGTCTTATGCCTGGATTGTTCAGGAGTGATCCTGGTAGTGCAAGACTGATCTTTCTACCCTGTTCGGGGAGTACAGAGTTGTACCTTAAATGTACCCAAAACAATTTTGTGTATAACAATATGCAGAAGCTCTTCAGCCATTTGGATCAAAAAAGCATTTTACACTGTATAGGATTTCCATTTCTACAGTATATGTAGGTACTACAGGATGAGACAAAAACTGACCATCTTCCATCTCCATCAGGAAAGGTTACGTCTGGAGCTGTTCATTTTAGGAAAAAATAAAGGGAGGGCGGAATATGACACAGGTTTATAAACCTATCTGCAGTGTAGGAAGATTATAAACAAGGGAATTTCCAGGGCAGCTCAGACAGAGCTTTCCAGATGCATCTTGCTGATCACACAGAAAACAGAATGCTTAGCCAGAGTCCTGTGGCTTGATCCAGCATAGCTCTTTTCCCTGAAGATGCCAGGATTTGGAATTGGGACATTCTGCAAACAAAATATGTCTTCTACCACACAGCTCTTGCCTTTTCCTGAACCTTCTCAGCACTATTATTATAACAGTATCTACTCATCTCCTGCAATAGCAGTGGGGAGTGTGCAACCAAATTGGAAGAGCATGTTTGACTGTCAAAGCTAATGGGAACTGAAATCCCACATTTTAGAAGGTGACCAATTTCCCACCCATTGAAGAGTTTGCATATTCCCTGTCTTCTGTGCCTCTTCATGCTTTTAAAGAGGGATTAGAAGCAAAGCCGCTCCTGTACTTCCATAAAACAGATTTTCAAACCTTTCATTGAAAATCCGTAGTTCAGCAATTCACACAACGTGCTTAAAGTATATACTAATTGATTGTTTGAAAGCCCCTTTCAGCAAATCATAATTTTGTCATATATATGTAATCATGACTTCTTTCTCTATGTGTGATCATCTTGTTTTGCTTAAACTACTAGCTCAATGGAGCTGAGCTACTGGTCAAGTTCTTCAAAAATACCATCAAATATAATAGTAATGCTTGCGAGATTCTGGATCCCCAAAGGTCACGTATCTCTCGCTGGTGACTGGCCAGTTGTGGTGAGGATTATAAATACCAGGATAGATCGGGCGTGTCTGAGAAACGCGGCTGAACAGAACTTCACTTCTATCCTGTCTTGATTCAGGTAGACACAGGCGCAGCTTATCAAGAAGATGTCCTGGCCAGAAACTATTGGGGTTGGTCAAGGGATTCAAAAAGGCAAACATTCTCCTCAGTTCTCTGCAAAGAAATAATATGATCATGAAAACAAGATACAGGAAAAACAAGATCTAATAAAATGAAGATTTGTCATGTTGCCAAAAGAGAAAACGTTAGGGTTTGGACATAAGCTACAATGTGGTTCATTTGATTTCAAATGAGCCTGATGTGCCAGCTCAGCCATTGTGGCTTGCAAACCATAGCTTAAGTTTAATATGTTATGTTCATGCAATTAATATGAAATTCCTATATGTGCACGAATGAAAACATTAAAGGGGAACTGACATTTTACTACTGTCAACCTAATGAGAACAAACCCTAAGTCAAAATAAAAATAAGGTAACCTAAAACTTCGGGGCAAGCTAAAAGGCTCGGGCCCAGTTAATCTGAAGGGCTGCCTCCCGCTGGAGCTCACTTGCATCTGCACTTGTTATGTATCGTGAGAAATACGATTGCTGAAGCAGAAACTGCTTGAAAAGATAATATAAGTACATTTTAAAGCCAGCTATGTTTTAATTTAAAAAAATACACACCAACGAAAGCAACAAAAATACTTTCCTTTTATGAATTATAAGTGAACAATAGCAATTCTTTGCGTGTGTGGATTGATTAGGCAAGAGGCCCAACTTCTAGTGGAATGTAAACACAGATTTACATTTGCTTTTACTACCTTACATCTATTTGGGTGCTGGATTTGAATTTCTTTAGAAAATATTTTTGATGTGTGTGATTCTTATTAGGTTTAAATAAACTTTCCCAAATCTGGGCATTATCCAGAGGTATAGACATCATTTCCCAGAATTCTCCTGCCAGCATAGCCATTGCTGAGAATTCTGGGAGTTCAAAGGCATCTAGGTTGAGAAAGTCTAGGTTCAATAAATCAGATTTAATTACTGTCTGTATGTCATTCAAATATATTATTTCATAAATGACTACAGTATGAAAAAAAAATCTACCTCCTTCTCTGTCTTAAGCTCTAGAACTCAGAAAGATAAATGATTCTCAATTAGATTCAACTGAGCTTTGTAGCTGATTTATAAAATTCAATCCTAAAGATGAGGTGAAAGTAACTGGCTCTGTGGGCTTATGAAGGAATTAGACAAAGAAGATAAACTTATCAACAGCTAGTAGTCATAAAAAATTGAATGGAGCTTTTTCTGTTTATTTGGGGGGTGGTTTAAGGGCAAAACAGTTGCCTTAAAAGGGAGGGGGAAATAGGCCTTTTTGGATGTTCATGGTTTTGATATGGCACTATAGTGCCCTGTGACGCTAAGGACAGCTATTCTGCCTCTTAGAACCCACCTCAAATACCACAACATTGGGGGGGGCAGAGGAAACAAGTCTAGAATCCCCTCGCCCACTGTAAGAGGATTGCAGAGTGTGCAAGCAGGCATTACATACTTGATTCTTAGCATTGCCCGCTATGGCCTATGTGATATTAAAAAACAGAACATAATGCTGAAGTCCTCAGGCTCATAATCTTTTGTTTAAAAATATTATTTAAGAGGAGAAGGGAAGGGAGTTGAAAGAAATGAGATTAGAAGCAAGCTGGGGGTGGAGGAAGGAAGAAAGAGTTTAAAAAACAGGAATGAACAGGAAAACAGGAAGAAAGTTAAGTATCACATGAAAAAGAAGAATCAAGAGTTTCTAATAATCTCTGTGCCAGTTTCTGGATAGGTATAGATTTTTAATGCCAAGTTCAACAAAAGAAATGTGGTGCCATACCTTTCCACATATTGTTTTGCAAGCACATCTGGACGCTCAAGCAAGCTGTCATCAAGAAATTTCTCATTCCAAATCTCCGGTGGAGGAAGTATTCTTTGGGAGTATTTACTGTAAAGTATAATGCATTTCAAATTTAGAAGCTATCAAACAGTATATAAAAAAAGCTGATGCTGCAAAGCTGGATGGCAAAAAAGTAATGCCATACTGATTGAGTGTAACATGCTGCATGGGAATTCTGGGAGTCGAGGTCCACACATCTTAAAGTTGCTGAGGTTGAGGAACACTGGGCTAGAGCAATAGCCTCTGCTGTCAACATAAAGTCTCTGCTAAACTATCACTGCCAGTGTCTGCTAGTGATGGAAACAAACCCTCAAAAATAGAGGAGGGAAGAAAATTGATTAGGATCAATGACAGACTTCCAAGTAACTTGCAGTGGGTTCCTAATTATTTAACAATGGCAAAACTATAAAGTTTTCCCACCTCTTTCCCCAAATTAGGTTACTAAAAAAGAATTTTAGCACAAATAGACTTTGAGTAGAAGCACTATGAGCTCAGGTCAGTCCTGATACTAGCTCTATCACATTGAATGGTGACAATGAGGAGTTTTCATACTGTATGTTGTGGAAAGACTAAGAAAGAGTCAATGGACCCTGTTGATTAATCACCAAGGATTACATTTAACTAAGTCATGCACAAACTTAAACTAACTCCACCTGGGATTGTGGGGACACTTAAACTTATACAAAGCCACTCAACCCATTTTATATATCTGGTTCGGTGGACTGTACTGTGAGAACTGGGCCTTTGTTTTTAAATTGTAATGCCTACACTTTTCATCTCAATGGGTCTGGTGAGTCTAGCTCAGACAAAGGAGATCTCCCCACCTTCTCTAAGACTGGAAGAGTAGTGTCTTTCACATGGAAGAATAAGCCAAATATTTAAGGTGTTAGGAGTTTTTAATAGATGAAATGGATAATTTAGATGCTCTAAAACAGTTTTTTTCAAACCTGGCAACTATCAGATGTGTAAATTTCAACTCTCAGAATTCACCAAACCAGCATGTCCCCCACTCCCAACATGCTGGCTGGGGAATTCTGGGAGTTGAAATTCACACATCTTAAAGTAGCCAAGTTTGAAAAACACTGCTCTAAAACCTCCAAAACACAAAAATAGGCTGAAAACTTTAGTCCATCCTACCAGGGGGTTTCTGGGGGCCATAAAGGAGCTCCTGGAGGGTACATGTTGCCTGTGGGCTCTGATGTTTCTTGACACAAAGTTAGTCAATTATTTGCTCTCCTCCTCAAATCTGAGTTTAGAGCTGAATATCCCCACAGCAGAAACTATCCCTAATTTCGTCTCCATCTGTAGGAGAAGATCTGCAGAAAGACACCTTTGTATGCTGGACTGTCAAGGTGTCTGGTAGATCAGCATCAAAATAAGATTCCCTCTAGCTTCTTATACTGTTTTCTTTTTTACACTGTTATAGCCATGATCACAAGTGGCTGGGCAGCCCAATGCTGAAATAATCCCAAATTTCCTTTGTAAATTAAAGCTGGAGAAAGGAGACAGGAATTTTTGCTGTAGCTCTGTGGGCCGCCAACCACAAATCACACTGTAAAGTGAAAAGGGTTTAAACTTGAGATCTGTACATTCATATTCAGATTCATTCCCAGATTTCTAAAGCCCTTTGATAGCATCTAAATATCTACATCCCACAGAATCAGTTATGGCACATTTGCATATTCTACAAATAAATTACATAGAACGCATTTTATTCAGTTTTCTACCTCATACCATTCACCACCCTGCATTTGAGGTTATTAATCCAGAAGTAAATTTCAAGTAAATTTCTTGGAATTTTTCTGAAATTCCCAGTAAAATATTCCCAAAAGCTTGCCAACACGGCGACTTGCTCCATAATCTACACCAACTCCATTGGCATAGAACCCTTGAAAATTGAGAACAAAATTTTAGGGTAACTCTGTAATACCAGAGTGCATTCCTAACTCTGTGTCTGTTCCACTGAAACAATACTCAGATCAATCATACTGCAGAAATTTTGCTGACCTCATGGCACAGAAATGTTCCATAAGAAGATGGATGGATGTCTCTCTTATTTCTGTGGCAAAATACTTCTACCAATAGCATGCAGGATTATACAAGATAATAGAATGATTTACAACAAAGACCATGTTATGTGGCAAGCAAGCAGAAGTCCAAGGAAAGTATAATTGTTTTTACCAAGGGAAGACAGAAATCAGTTTTTGTAGAATGGCTAAGTCAAATTTAATATGGAAGGGAAATAACAGTGCTTGTTGATAATAAAGCTCTATCATTCCAAGAGCTTTTCAGATAATACTCCATTTCCTTATTTAACCTATTGAACACATACCTCATCAGTTGCTTAAATTCCTTAAACGACTCCCAGCGGCAGGTCAGAGGCTGCTTTTTGACTTCTTTCTTAGTGGCCTCTTGTTCTGGCTTTCTAGAAGAAACAAACAAAAATGGTGAAAAGGAATCGAGAGAGAAAGATCATGCCAGCCCTCCCCAAGCGGATGTTTTTTAGATGTGTTGGACTATAAATCCCAGAATTGTTAAATATTAATGGGGATGAAGGCACTACAGCAGCGTTTCTCAACCTCAGCCACTTTCAGATGTGTGGACTTCAACTCCCAGAATTCCCCGGCCAGCCATGGGAACTCTGGGAGTTGAAATCCACACACCTTAAAGTGGCCAAGGTTGAGAAACACTGCACTACAGCATGTTCAAGAAAGCTGTGGCGGGGATCACCTATTTGTGTGTCGCTAACATTTATACTATAATAGACCAGATAAGAAAAAGCAAAAAGATGTTGAACCAGCATTTTAAAAATGCATACATATGAATGTACAGCCCTTTTTCAAAAAAATTAGCAACAGCAGAGCATATTCCATGTTATGAGAATTTATCATCACATGCAGGCAAACAGATGAATGCACTGTGTGTTTTGCTAAGCGCATCTAATCCAGCATTACATGTCCGTGGGGAAACATACACACAAGGCATGACAGGCAACAGCCGATCCCAATTTGTTCCCACTATACTGTTTTCAGAAGAACTCTGCCTCTGAACATTATGGTTTATTTAGTTATCATTATTACCACAACCTCCATCCATGAAAGCTTTCTCATGCCACAGTTAGGGCACTGAGGGGATGTGAACCTTCAATTCCTGAGGGAAAGAGCAGATGCATCTGTTAGGATTAAGCCAGTCTTGATCCCAGGCAAAAGGGTCCTTACTAGAAAAATAGCTGGATCAGGGGATGATTAATGGAAGTTGAAGAAATAACCAATTAAGCGTGAATGTGTTGGGAACTTGGAATTGGCAGGTGTATCTCAGTTGTGGTAAATCGACTGCAGGGGGCACTGGAACAACCATTAAAAACTTTGGTCCTCAGTTCTAATCTGGTTACCTCATACTGGCTCTGCGGGGTCAGATCGCTGATGAGCTTGGCCTGAAGCTGCTGATGGTAAATGTCAGGTCCATATGCAGGAAGACCTCGTTTATCCATGACTTGGTAGTGGGTGCACATATGGACATGACATGTATTGCCAAGACCTGGTTAGATTAGGATGTCAACAATGCCCCCTTGGGCTTAGTCAGTATCTTAGACAAGGCCAGAGAGGAATGGCATTGGTCTTTAGAAACACCTTGTCTGCCATCAAGGACTCTGCTCCTGAGATGGTAGAGTGTGAATGGGCTACAGGGACAAACTGGGGAGTCCTGTTGATATACTGGCTGCCCTCCTGCATGAGAGGTTCCCTCCCTGAGCTGCTCAGTCTGTCTCCAGGCTGTTTTTAGAGTCCCCTCACCTAAGCTTCATTTAATCCAGAATATAGCAATCTCGTTGTTCGCTGACACTTGTTGCCATATGGATGTTATGCTGGTGCTTCAGGCCCTGCACTGGCTTTCTATTGCTTCTGGGTGCTATTCAAAATATGATTTTAATGTGTAAAGCCCCATATGGCTTGGGACTGAGGTATCAACAGGACTACCTTCTCTAGCCAGAACTGACACAGCTGATCCATGCATCCTGGGAGAAACTGCTTGAGGTCCCCGCTATTGCCATGTGAGGAAGGCCAAGAGTTGCAGGTGCTATCTTTTGGTGGCTGGGCCTATGTTATGGAAGTGCTACCCAGATGACATCAGACTGGCCTTCTGAAAGTTGTGAAGGATCAATTGGTTCAGAGGGCCTATGGTGACAGACGATGCCAACGTGAGGTTGGTGGTTCTTAGTGTTATTTTATAGTGGTGTTGACTTATTATCTATTTTTACAGTGGATGTTTTATGATATTAATATGTTTGCTAGGAAGTGCCAACAGTCCAGCAAGTTATGATGGGTACATAAATAAATTAGCATCCCTTCTGCCGAGTTTTTAAGCCATTTAAGCCATTGCAGTGGCTAAGAAGAGAAGCAGTTATCTTACACAAGTGGGGTAGATGAAGTCCTCAGGATATTGCTGGACTATACTTCCCAGCATCTTTTACCACTGTCCAAATTGGGAAAGGTTACTGGGAGTTGTAACACCAGGAGCACTCGTGTTGTTTGATTTGTGCTGTCTGCCAGTGAGGGTGCATACCTTTTTTTGGCCTGAAGGCTACATTTGGCTTTTGAAAAGGGTATGTTCCCCTTCTGTCCCATTAACAATTATAATTATGCGGCAAGTTTTGGAGGTTTCTGAGAACCACATTCAAAGCTTTGGAGGGGCTACATGACACCTCAGGTTTTGTATACCTACCTTCATAGGCATTTATCCTTTGTCAGGTTTCTTATGAAACTTAAATAATTAAGGAGTTGGTGTTTTTAAAACAAAAAATAAAGCATTAACATGAAGAAGAGAAGCTAAAGAAAGAAAATTGCAATTGGTTTGCTATTACAGTGGGAGCTCACAACTAGTCCTTGCTTAATGACCCTTCCTTTAGTGACTGTTTGAAGTTACGACAGCACTAAAAAGTGATTCATGACCAGCACCCAAAGTTACAATCATTGCAGCACCCCCACAATCATGTGATTGCAATATGGGCACTTGGCAACCAGCCTGCACTTACAATGGTTGCAGTGTCCCGGGGTCACGTGATCGTCATTTGTGACCTTCCCAGCCAGCTTCCGGCAAGGAAAATCAATGGGGAACCATATGATTCACTTAACGACCACATGATTCACTTAGCTACCACGTGATTCACTTAATGAATATGGTGGTTTGCTTAACGACACCACAAAATTGTTGTAAAATTGGGTCCAGTCATGTGATGATTTGCTTAACGACTGCATCACTTAGTGACCTAAATTCTGGTCCCAATTGTGGTCATTAAGTGAGGACTACCTGTAAAAGCCAACACCATCAATCTTCTAGCTCTGTATCCTACTAAATTATGCCAATATAGAATGTTCTTTGTGGTATGATGTATACCAAATATACCTGTGATACCTTAATTTTAGATTATCAAGAAATTAGCTACTGACTGGTCCACAATAAGCATATTTGTTTGCCTACATATATGTACCCAACTGGAAAATAATTACTGAAACAGGAGAATAATCCATGGGTATATTTCTGCTATTCAAAATAGCAGGTGAAAAAAACTAACTCTGGTTTTAACAGTGATATGCTAGACCAACATTTGTGTGGACTTGTAAGCTGATTATATTTGTTTATCTGTGTGTGCCTGTGTAATACATGATAAATTAAACAAACCTTTTCTTAACCTTGGAAGAGCTTCCCCCATCAGATGATTCCCTCGGGATAACAGAAGCAGTGTTACTAGGACCGCCTGGCTGCCTCAACTTCCGAAAGTCCTTTCCGAGTCTCAGGAGCCTGTCTCCTGGGTAGAGCAGACCTAATGGTACAGAGTGCTTTGTTTTAAAAAAAGATTGACTGTAACATCCCACACAGGCTGTGGAATTTGTATCCATGCAGGACTTCAGACATCCAAATGGTACTGGAAAGGCTCAGACAGCTGACTGTTTTGTGTCACAGGCTGCATTCACTCACAATTATACACCAGGTTTACTGATTGAACAAGCCCATCAGTTCTGCAGATGAGCAAGACAATGGTATGTAAGAAACAGAAATCAGGTTGCCGCAACTCCTTTTACCAGGAACTTGCAAACTACTGATAATAAGGAAGCTAAGGAAAGATACATCTGCTGAGTACAGCCTGAATAGCCTGCTACCTTGGAAGGAAGCAAAAACTGGCAGATAAGCCCTGTCCAATTTATCTTAACTAGGGTCTAGAAAGAAATAAATCAGTCAGCTGCAGAGAGCTACTTCCTTATGGCTACAACAACTCCTACAATTCTCAAAATTTGAAAAAAAACATCCTCTTGTTTCTCATATTGTCCCATCCACATGCCTCTCTCTTCTGCCTGATCATCAATGCATACAAACTATACAGTACATCTGTAGATGTTTACTCAAAAAACTACCATGTACTTCAATGGGACTTATTTCAGGTGTATGTTTAGAACAGTGTTTTTCAACACCAGCAACTTTAAGATGTGTGGTCTTCAATTCCCAGAATTCCCCAGCCAGCTTGGGCTAGTGGTTAAGGAATCAGGCTAGAAACCAGGGGACTGTGAGTTCTAGTCCCACTTTAGGAATGAAAGCCTATGGATGGCTTTGGGCCAGTCATTCTCTCACAGCCCAACTCACCTCACAGGGTTGTTGTTGTGGGGAAAATAGGAGGAAGAAGGAGTATTAGGTATGTTCAT